TTATTCCTAGTAACCCACATCAGAGCTGACACATGAAAAATGGTGAAATTACTGAAGGTAGTCCAGCCTGAATAAGGACTACCTTATTAGTTCAGGTACTTGCATCTCCCTAATTTTCATATTAATCATGTGTCCATCTTTCTCTGAAATAGGGCCATCATGCTTCATGTCAGAATTTAGCATGTAAGTAAAATTCATAGTGCTTCAAATCTCACTTGAAAATATTTGTGTGGAGAGAACAGAATGAGTGATCTTATTATTACTAACAAAATGCGATTTCCTAAAATGTTCATTTTTAGCCTTGAAATAGGAAAATTAGTATTAAGGTATTTATAAAAGCACTGATGACTGCCTCTAGTCCTTGCCCCCCAAATCAACAATACGGTGTTCTTGTTTAAGAGAGCTACTGCACACTGTAATGTACCAATGTTATATATTTCTCATCAATTTTTCATTTCCGCTGATTAAATATATACTGACTCATAAAGCATTACCATCACATCAATTGTCACCAGATGCAAGCATATGTCATGTAAGTATTAACTATCATATAAAAATGGCAGCCTAGTTGTTTAGAAGCCATAATCTGGTACCAGTCATTCCCAAATTTCCCTGATGCATTCGCAGTCACTCAGAAAGTGCTATTACCTCTGTGCTAATCTGCAGCTAAATCTTTAGTAACCCTCTTCTTTGGTTAAATATTCTATATATTTGTGGTAAATAACAGGTTTACCAATGTAGGAGAAAATGCGTTAGTGGCTTAAAATTTTCCATAGTACTAGAAGATGGATGGTGAGGGCAGCTAAATAAGCTAAGCTCAACACAAATATCCATTAAAAATTCAAATGAATATAAATTGCTACTACGTAAAACTTATGTCATCAATATCATCGTCTATAAAAATGAGTACCATATTTGCATCACCTTATTTCTAGATGCTGTTAGCTCACTCCTTTATGTTTTTTTTTCATAAAGGACAATCACTAAATTCCTAGTTACAGCACAGTAACCTCAAGCGGCTCATAGAATCAACTCATAACAAACAAGTCTGAAGACATTTAAAAACTACCTTGCTTTAGAAGCAGAAAAAAGTATGAATACATGTTTTGCTAGGAGGAGAAGTGCATTTTATATGTTAACTATCGTATCAGATGGTGTAGACACTGCCTAGACCATTAAAACCCTCTAGTAACTGATAGGTAATTGCTCATTTGCTGAATGTAGTGGCACAGCAGACAGAAGCTGTGAGAGAAACCATCCTTCCTTGCTAATGTAACATGTAGAACGTGCTGCTACCACAACACTTAATGCTCACAGTACTGAGTCATCTTTAATGCAAACACACATTTTCTGCCTTGCTTCTATGTTTTCCATTATAATGCAACACGAAAACAGTGTACATTGCATTCCATCCCTGTGAGGTTTGCACAAGCAGTTCCAAGTCAGACTAAATATTGTATTGCTCTTATTATAGTGGATAAATATTTCAAAGTTTAGGAATTAAATATTTTATTTTTCAGTATGCTCTCTGCCACTATTATGAACTTTTTATAGCTTCTTCATTCATGGGAAATCTTGAGGGTTTCCTTTTTTAAATGTAAGACTATTATTTGTTTCCCCAAACAGAAGCAGATCAGAGTTAACAAATAAGTTCAATAAATCACTTTATACTTGGTGTTACTAAGAACAGTATGCTTCTTCATATAAAGAGACTTTTCAAGGCATGTATCTTTTATCATAATAAAAGTTTGCTAACAAAAAAATAAATCAAGTAAACATTACATTTTTAAGTATACAGTTTCTCTCCTCATTTTTATAATAGTTAGCATAGGTTTTCTTGGCATACGTCTCTTTACTTAACACAGGTATTTCTCACACTAAATTAAGACAACACATCCAAAGATGAGCATGTCCTGAGCTGTTTGGTTGAAATTTCCCACAAAATAAGAAACCAAGAAGCTGTTTATACATTTGCCTTAAAAGAAGGAGACTAATTATGTTAACTGATTTATTAATATATGAAGTTCTTTGTCCAATTATTAAAACTACAAAGAGACCAGGGAGCAATTTAAATGTCTAAGGCACCTCAAAACCTCTTTCTTTAAGGTTAATTATAATTCCAAGCAAAGCTACTCTAGATAGGCCCCTTAGGTTTTATGCAGGTTTAAGTAAAATAATAACAATAACATTACCTCATTGGCCAGCTCCAGGAGCACTGGGGCAGTTCCATTTCTCCCCACTCCATTCAGGTACCTAGACAGACAAAGCCAAGTGGTAATGCAGTGACAAGAAAAGGCCAGCATAGACTTGTCAGCATCCGCTGTGTGTACACGTTTCTCCTGGGCAAATGCCACGCTCAACTCTAGTTAAAGTATGCTACTGTCATAGGAAAAGCATTGAAGGGAAAAGAAAAACAAAAAAAAACTTACCTCAAAACCACTGGCAACTTACTAACTGAAGTTGGGGGTGTGAGGTATGAGCAGGTTGGGCTCCCTTCCCTTCCATGAAGACAGAAGTGATTTTGAAAAGAACTAGCCCTGTCACCTGGCTTTATCTATACCACAACCACCTTATGCGAAGAAAGTGAGTTTACTCTTATGGTTTGAAAAAAAGCATCCATTGGTTGACACCTTATTAAGAAACAAATGGAGCAGACCTGTCATCGGTGGGTCAGCACACCTTGTCAGGCAATACAAGGCATCATCTTTTATGTCCTGGATTTCTATCATAACCTCCATCCCTCCTCATTCCCTAATCCCACTATTAAAAAAACCTACAAAAAAACCTCCCCAAATCCATCCCAGACATGGAAGCCAGAGTGATTTTTTTTAAGCAAAAATCTGAATGTGCCATTCTCCTCAAAACATTTCACAGCCCCACATTAAATCTCAAGATTCAATTATAGCCACTTAATACCTCTTACAAATTTCTTCATAATCTGGTTCCCACCTACTGTCCTTGGCCAGTCTCATCTGTAATCACTGTTCTGCACTCCAACCCTCACCTGGAGAACTCGTGATTCAGCTTACATGTAACTTTCTTCAAACCACCACAAGCCAGGAGAAAGTTAGGTGTCCCAAGGTACAATCGATGAGCACCTTGTAAATCTCTCCATCACTTAACACAGCATCATATTGTATCTGCCTAGTTACTTGTCCACCTCAAACCCATCCCCCAATGCAGGGTTGAAAGCCTGATGAGGGTAGAAGAATTGTATTTTATTCCATTTATTATGCCTAAAACAGTTTTTGACTTAAAATAGGTGATTGCATTATACATACATATATTTTTTCTTTAATAAATGACTGATTAATAACTTTTAAAAGCCATACTGGATAAGAAAAGAGAATTCAATATGGATGTTTTCTCTACAGTATGCCATTTGAGTGAATAAATTAACAATATCTGTTTGATAGTAAAAATCAAGGTCAACAGACGAGGTCTTCCATATAACTACCACAAGCAGACACTAAATTATATTATTTCACAAGTATGTTTATGAAGATGTATGATTTTCCTATAAACAAAGTGGAAGTAAATTATTCAAGGTAGGAAGTCTCAGGATCATTATAACTTCAAAGTAATTCTATTAAGTTCATTTTCCATAAATTGGGGACTTCCTTGAAAAAACTGTTTAGGAATCTAATTGAGAAATAACCACTTTCAGAAGAAAAGAAAAAAAAAAAAAAGGCAAGTGTGGTTTAGAGAAAGGTCCCTGGGAACCAGCTTAGCTCAGAACCTCACATCAACTCACAACATTTCCATTGCACTGATAGGGCTGCTCCGGAAACAACCAATCCGTTCAGTCAAGTCTGACCAACTAATCCTGCGTTCAAAGCCACCAAACATGCACATTCATTAAGGGTTCAGACTCTGGGTCAGATTAGTTAAGCCTATACTGATATTAGGGTATCTTCACAACTTTCTACTCAACATTCATTTATCCCACAAATATTTCTGAGAGCTAACTTGTATTGGGCCTGTTCCAGGTTCTGAAGGAGCAGCAGGGAACAAAACTTCCATGGCTCCTGCCATCACAGAAATGATATTGCAGTGGAGAGACAATGAAAACACAGAAATACATACATAATATAATGATATATTCTACGATAAAATGGAAGCTTAGATGGGTTGGTCAGGAAGCCATCTCCAAGTGACACGTGGGTCGAGGCCCATAAGAAGGCAAGCGGGGAGCCATGGGAGGAAGAACATTCCCAGCAAGACAACAGTAAGCACAAATGCTGGGAATGTACCCGGGGTGTCTGAGGACCAGGAAAGGCTCTAGTATGACCAGAGCAGAGCTTTGAGAGCTGAAAGGAAAACATGAAAAAGAGAAGCTAGACCTCAGACCACTGTCTATGCCAGGGAACTGTTGTTTGGACTCAAAACTCTGTGGTTTCACGTAAATGTTGCATTAACCATTAACCAATGGAGTGCCTCTGTTAAGTTTAAAGAACAGGAGATGGTCAAACAATAACCCACTATATCTATATAGAAACATGTTCATACTTAATGCAGTGGAAATTCCTAATTATGAGCTTGTTAAAAGCTGCCTAGTTGCCAAGAAATAAGACCCCAGGGTACGGATGAAACCCGTCTGGGCTCTCTTGGCCGGTGAACAGTAAAGCTCTGAAATGGAACCCCATCCCCCAAGGTCGACTGAGGGGCCTTCAAATGTTGAAAAGGGTAGGCCTGCTTCTGAATATATTTATTCTCCAATCTGTTTCCTAACTATATTCCGTAACACTTCAGAAGTACTGGGGAAAAGAAATTAAGTGAAAATTAATTTGAAGTAAGTTTTCCTTTCTGGGAACTTTAACTGTCTTCTATACCAAGTGACAGATCAGTTTTATTGAAATATTTAGATATGCAATCAAAGGAGCTTACTAATTACAGAAAACATTCAGTAAGGACACGATCAGAAATTCCTAATGCTACCCTTCTCTGTATTCTCAAAACATCTTGTGCAAACTTGCAGTGTAGACTTTTCATACATTTACAATGGTTTGTTTCCCTCTCCAATTGGACTGGAAGCATCTTGGGAGAGGCCTACACAAATGAATGCTGAACTTACATCCAACAGATCCTTAGCAAAGGTCTGAATTATAACTGAGATATAAAGATGTGATTATGGATACTATATTAAGGTACCCTGGGCCATCTTCCTAATACCTATTTGTAAATTAAAACTACTTTGCACAGAAGCTATGTGCCATCCTCTAAGCTTTGCCATAGGAGGGCTAAGAAATGTTTATCCTGTGGGTTGAAACCATCCTTAAAAGATCTTCATGGAAAGTCCATTTTATGTTTCTTTGAATGTGAAAGATTTATTAGCATCTAAGATTAAAATGATATGTACTGATTTAAAATATTTTTTAAAGATTTATTTATTTATTTATTTATTTGAGAGAGAGAGCACACATGAGCACAAGGTGGGGGAGGGGGCAGGGGGAGAAGCAGACTCCCCGCTGAGCAGGGAGCCTTATGTGGGGCTGATCCCAGGACCCTGGATCATGACCTGAGCTGAAGGCAGACGCTTAACCGACTGAGCCACCCAGGCACCCCTGATTTAAAATATTAAAAAGTTATTTGAGCTTTATTATTTTATAATAATTATTTTCATAATAATTATAATGGCATAACTTCAAAAAACTACCAAAATTCTGTTCTAAGCTTACAGCTGAATACCATCTTTGTTGATTCTACCTTTAAAATTTCTGGAGCCCATCTCCAAGTATGCAGCTGTTTTCCCACTAAAACAGAGCAGTTGAGGGCAGGTACCATGTCTTATTCACATTTGTATACTTGATTCCAGGCTTAGTAGATGGGACACAGTGAGTGCAAAGTAAGTTGTGATAATTAAACAAAAAAGTAGTTCAAATTTTCAGAAACTATTTTTGTCATGTAATGTCAATAACATATTTGAGCTAGCCTTTTTTCCATGTGAAAATCTGAATGAAATTCAATTGATCTGATTCTCTAAAGCTAATAAAGCTTGCCCTCAAACAGTGTATGTTGGAAGAAGGGAAAAGATGGGAGACAACATTTCTAAACCTTGCTATTGATGGGGACTTGCAAATCTGACCACTTGTGAGTGTGTCTGTGTGTGTGCATACATGCCCCTGTGCAACAGTCTGGATGGCCTAAATAAATTTTACCAAGTATGTTTCCTGTTTGGAAATAAAATGCCATTGATACAGGGGGAAAGAATAGAGTTGTTTTCAAAATGAACACCAGGCTGTATCTGTACATACACAACATGAAGAAGTGAGGAAATTTCCTCAGTAATTCAAAAGCTCGAGAAAACATTTTCAGCTGATCTTTGGATACTTTGAACTTTCAGTTAACCATGATGGAATCACACTGTGGACTATATGGTTTATAAATACAGTTTTCGAATTCTGAATTGAGATCATCTTAACACTAGCAAGAATGCAGAGACAAAGGAATTCTCTGACTAGGTGCAATGGGGAAACCATTATAAACTTTCTAGACAGTAATTTGGCAACATATAATAAAATCTTTAAATGCTCATTATTTGCACCAGTAATTATATACATAGAAATCTTAAAAAACTAATCCAAATTGCAAACACTTATGTACCTAAATGTTTATCACAGTATTATTTTTATATTACATTAGAAACATATATGTTCAACAGTTATAATTCAGTAAATTATGGTACTTTCATATGATGAAATAATGCAATCAATAAAATGTTTACAGAAAGCTTTCTACAAAGTGATATTATGTTATACACATTTTTCTAAGTACAAAATTCAGGATTCACAATGGTATATATAGTATGACCTCATCTATATAAAAATGGATTGACAAAAGACTACAATGAAAAATACCACAGTGGTTACCTGTGGCTGCCACAATTATGTGCGATCATCCATTCCTTTCTATACCATCACAGGTGTGCTTAATTTCTACAATATTCAAGTATTACTTTTATAAAAGAAAAAGAATTAAAGTATTAGTATTGTCAAACTGCTTAGATATGTTTTGATATAATACAATTTGCCTTTATTATTATCAGCTGGAAAACAAAACTCTCGAAAGGCCAATTTACCTTAGAGACTATAGGGACATTTAACCAGCACGTTTACAAGAGGCTGTGTGGTCAGTCCATCTGAAAGGTAACAGTGTGGCCCATCTCCAAGCACAGAGTGCAGGGCAAAAAGCCAGGGAACAGGGTGGTCAAGTAAGAATTTGGTGAGACTGTTTTCTTATTAGACTGTCCATTACAGCCTAACTTCACATTTTTACTTCAAAATTTGTGACTCCTTAAAACAACTGAGATTCTCACATTTAAATAAATTTATAAATATATATAAATATATGTGTATATATTTCTGTAGTCTCATTATTGCTCACCCAAATGTTCATCATTAAGTAACCATATTTACAGGAAAGAATTTTATTTCTGGCTTGACCAATTCAGATAATCCAATAAAGTATGTTCATACCTCAATAATTAAATACACTTTTAAATGAAACTAAATTTTAAAAAGCAGCACCGAGAGGTCTTAGAAATCATCTAAGTAAAATGGCCTTTAAACAACAATGAAAATGACTGTCAGAGGGCAGCCCCATGGCCCGTAAGTGGATCTCCAAATTTCTAGGAAAGGCTCTATTTTCTACTGCTTATGTTACCAAGGCTTTAAAGCCTGGACATAGAACCAAACTTTTATATGATGGCCTAAGATGATCATTTTTATAAACAAAAATGTACTTTTTGACAGATAAGTAACTTTTCAGTCTTTCTTTGGAGGGTCTGGATTCCAAAGCTGTTGATGACTTCATAGCACTTTGTGAGCCATTCTTCATTTTTCATGAATGATTTAGGTTATAACTTGCATTCAAATGTTGATGTCACTGAAGAGACTATAAATTTGGAAAAAATCAATTCAAATTCTACAAAGACTTGTTTAGAGGGGAATTCTCCTAGACACAAAAGTGTGTGTGCATATGCGGTGTGTGTATCTTTAACAGACACTACTACTGAAAACTGAACGCATCTCTTATCATACATGGCACAGTATATAATTTTTTAAAAGGCTAATAAGTTCAATAACTTTTGTTTTCAATAAACACTTCTCAATTCTTAAAAAACGACTTTCCAGAAACACGATACCATATTTATTCTAGATACTCATTTCATTCATAAAATTTTTGTGCACAAAAATCATTCATCTAAAATCGGTGGTGTCACTATCACCACAGAAACGTTGATCTGTCAATCTTAGGTGTAATAATTTAAGAGCATATTTCAGACAGCTTTCCTTTCCAATATGTCCTTGAAATATTTAAGAAACCAACAATTCTAATGCAAACCATTACCATTTACAGTTATAAATTAATCAGTCATATTACAAAGACAGTATCGTTTTTAGAATTTTTTTTAAAAAGCTACTTTTTTTATTTTATTATGTTATGTTAATCACCATACATTACATCATTAGTTTTTGATGTAGTGTTCCATGATTCATTGTTTGCATATAACACCCAGTGCTCCATGCAGAACGTGCCCTCCTCAATACCCATCACCAGGCTAACCCATCCTCCCACCCCCCTCCTCTCTAGAACCCTCAGTTTGTTTTTGAGAGTCCATAGTCTCTCATGATTCGTCTCCCCCTCCGATTTCCCCCCTTCATTTTTCCCTTCCTACTACCTTCTTCTTTTAAAAAGCTACTTTAAACATTCTGTTTTAGAACAGAGGTTGAAAACTATTTATAATAAATTAGGCCAAAATTAAAATATCCCCTGGACACTATGTTGGTGATTTAATACCCAGATTTTCTTTTTAAAATACAAAACCCCATTTAAAATGTGACAGTTGTCTATTATTATCTATCTCCATATGTCCTTACTTGACATGTCCTTTTTTTCCATTTCTAAAATGGCAAACCCAATACCTATGATGCAAGATAGAAGTGAACCAAAATTCAATCTTATTTTCTAATGTATTTTTCAACTTGTTGATTTAAGTAAGAAAACTTGATTCGAGAACTTTCATACATATATGTAGATACATGTGTGTATTAACATGCATCTATACAAGATATGCACTTACAATAAGTTTAAAGTAGCCAACTGAGATTTCATAATACTGTAAGGATTTCTTACATAGTATGCATAACACACAATCAAGATAGTCTCACCATATTCTTTAAACACACCATTTGAGAAATCATTAAAAAAATATACCTTAAGTCTTAAGTAAGACTTGTATCACAATGCCCTGAAATGTTATACAGACAATTAATTTAGTAACCTAATTTATTCATAATTATTATTACAATTAATAGGTACTATGATACCCTCTAGTGGGGCAGGCAGGTCATACCTCTGATAATAACTTTCAATCGCTTCTGAAGTATGATGTTTGGCATGTGTTCTTTTAATATGTTTCTGAAACAAAACAAAAAAAGATCTTTATGTTGTGTCACGCATCAGGTTCAAGAACAGAATGACATATCTCTTCATCCCAATATCTAGCACATAGGGCAAGCTGAATAATAGCTTGGGGATTTGAGCGGTGGTAGGTCTTTTTTCCTTCTACTTTATGAATCTATGCATTTTAATCTCTACTGCTTGGCCAGGATGTCTTCAGCCTGTACCACAAGGTACAGTATATATGTAAAAGCCAACAGGGTCATAGTAATTGAATCTAAGTAAGTTTGCTTAGGGTTGCAGAGGGCAAAGAAAAACTTGTTCCCTCTTTCAACCTTTGTATTAATTTTCCCTCAATTCAATTCCATCTAAGTCCTCTGCACTCTAGTTTTACAATCCAATTGCCATTTTTAACCAGGAAGAACATTGCTTAAAAACAACTTATTTGAAAACTACAAAAAGTAATTCCATAGAGACTTGCCACTTGACTGACACCTGTCATCTCATGATAAATGACTCCATTTTCTGCCTCTCTTGCCTTCTGCCACTCCAGCAATGGTCATTTATCATCATCTCTGTCAGCAATGGAAAGCGGCACTGACAGTGCAAGTCAGCAAACATTTAGCACATGGAACCACGCAACACGGGGAAATTATTATTGTCAGAATAATAATGGTTTAGCATAATTTATTACAGGTCCACCAAATAAGCAAAGGCTAGATGTTATTAGACAGATGGATGGGTAGGCTTGGCAGGCCTCCACTGAGACGCAGGCGGTGCTTGATGTGGAAAGGAGAACATCCTCCAACCCAATCAGAGAGCTGGCAGTTCAATTACAAAGAAATAAAGGGACATTCATCATTCAATTAGGCACCTGTCAACCCTCACAAAGGAGAAAACTTCTAACCTGGTACTCCTGGGAGAAGATGCTCAGCAGAGTGGCCTGCGATTGACTGGAACAAATAAAAGAAGGACAAAGTTAATTACTGGAGTGCACGGCAAAGAAACAAAAGAGAAAGGAGCTTCAAAGGTAGGCCTGCTGCCCTGTAATCTAACAGAACATGAAAACAAGTGTGGAAAAGTTGTTCCAGATGAACACCTCAAACAAAGGCTTCCTGCTGCTAGGTCAAGGAGACAGAAAAAGGGAAAGGGAAAAATATGGATGGTCTCGGAGCAAACGATCATACAATTTGGACGTTTTTTTTAACTTTAGAATGATTATAAATCATGCCTGTAGCATGCAGTTATGTTAAAACAGACCAAAAGGAAGCAAGGTTTATTTCCATTAGTAAGTGATAAGAGTCAAATCCCATAAACAGTGGAGAACAGGAGGTTCACTCGCTGGCAGCATTCTAAATTTATTTTGTTAGCGGACAGGTATCCTCTTCTACAGCTATCTCAGAGTCAGGGGGAAAAACTTTGGTCTTCACTAGAAGTAGCACCGAGAGACCACTGGAACGTTCCTACTGACACTAGTGGGCTTTGAAAATAGGAGCTTTCACAGCAGAAAGCCGAGGTCCTAGGGGTACGTCATTCCCAGAGACGGCCATAAGCCTTATGCATCCAAGACTCCACACAATGTCAAACACTTGGCAGTGAAATAACCTGGAAAACACTCTTCCCAAGTGGGAATTTGCCTATCACAATTGTGAACATTTAGAAATGAACAGAATTTTTTTTTCCTCTAAAGAGCAATCAATATCCTACTGCTACTCTTTTTGATTGCCCTCTGTAGATATATCTACCTTATCATATCTTGAGAACAATTAATTATTTCTGATATATTTTCTACTAAATGCTATCTGAACAAATTACAGTGTTAATAATTCGACTTTTATGGTACACCAAAGCACTATGAATAATTAAAATTTTTCTATGCGTGAATGAAACCTCTTAAGCTCATCACAGGTAATTTGGAGAGTGTGAAATAAAAACAATGACAGCATATTTCTTTACTCGCTGCCACAGTGTTGTCATCTTCTGCATACCATCATAGATTTGGCTTCGAAACCCTTTCCATTCTCATCAGACAACAAAAAAATAGGTTAAAAAAAACACAAACACTGGGGCGCCTGGGTGGCTCAGTTGGTTAAGTGACTGCCTT